TAAAAATCTAATATACAATTATAAATATTTAACAAAAATGATTTTAACATAATATAAAGAAAATAAATTTTTTACGTTTATATAATAATTTACTGAAAAAAAAGAAAAAAAGAAAGAAAACAATAAATCATGGCGCCAAAGTTATAAATAATAATAATATCTATCGTGTTAAAATACTATAATCGAAAAAACTATTATTATCTTATAAACAATTTAACTCTATACTTATGTGATCAAAAACCTATTAGAAATAATAATAAAATAATAATAATAATAATAATGTATGTATCTTCGTTTAAAGAAAATGAACATAACAACTACGACTAACGAACAAACGATTAACAATAAATAGTTGAATTGGTGGGGGTAAAGGCTTTACCGAGCTCGACAAACAGCATCCGTCGGTTAGTATCGTGGCTCAGGTAAAAACGTCAAATTGCGTTGTTGCACCTGAACGCACGAGAAGTGTTGCTTTACGTCGTGGCTTACCGATTACCTAATCTCCTATTCGTAAACTTTTTTTTTTTTCTTTTACGATTATTCATTTTTAGTGTGTGTGATTTCCTTTTTTTTCCATACTCGAAATTCCACAAAAAAAAAAAAAGGTTGAATATTATTTTTGGATTTTATTTATAACAAATTACATATATATGTATATATATTGTTATAAAAAAAAATGAGACGCGGATCTGTATCAACTTGGGAAAATTTTGGTAGGAGAAATTGTGAGTACTTTTTTTATGCACATCCATCCTTCCTACCCTCCTCCACCCCCCCCCCCTCATACATTTTGTTTCGATAGGATTTTATCGGTTAATGATTTTTAATTTTTGTTTTTTTCTTTTGGTTCATCGTACGTTAATAATAATTCAATTCGCGAATCAATTTTTTTTTTTGCTTTTTTTTTTTTTTCTTTTCTGCTTTGTCCTCGATCACGTCAGGTAGAATAATTTCTTGAATTTTTTTTTTTTTCCTCTCTAATCGTTCGTTGAGTTTCCACGATTATATATATATATGTATGTATATGTATATATACGTGTTTATTCTTAATAAGACCGGATGTTTCTTTATAAACACGCGAATTATTGTATCTTTCATGTAATTGATGATAATATAATAATCATAATCGATGAACAAATTGTGGTTTTTTGATGTTAGCATATACGACGACGTTGTGTCACGCGTGAAAAATTTGT